CTGTCTGAGATGGACACGGATGGATTATGAATGTTCTATTTGTGAAGCTCCGGTCCTGCTACTGGTTTAATCACACTGACTGCACAGCTTGGCTGAGCAGCTGGATTCATAGTACGGCTGCTTGGCTAGCTTACCCTATTCTTACCCGATAACTATCAGCAGCCGTGCCAGCAAGGTTGTTTTGTTCTTCCCCGTTATGGGGCTCAGAACAGCTGTCATGCCCGCCGTTTGGGCTGTAAGTCTTAATTAAACATAAGTGCATGCTGGGCCGGCTGCAGCCTCACCGAGAAGCGGAAGATGTTGTGTGAATCACACTGATGTCTCACTCGCACAAACACACACGTAGACACATATGATCACAAGGGTGGTGTATCCGTGAGTCCGTCTCTCTCCATCACATCTCTTCTTTTTTCCAATTAAACAGACATGCAGCAGGATGCTAACAGACAGCTTTGCTTATGTCATTGAAAGTTTACTGTAGTCCCAATGCACTAGTCTGCTTGAGCAGTGTTAAGGGAAGGACGCAGTGTAGATGCAACGGAGGCTGTTAAAGGCTCATCTTTTATTCTCACAAATTTAAAGTAGCTGTTGGTCTGAGCAGAATTTGAGTTTGTGAGTGAGCGAAATAGAGGTAATACTGTCTGAGACGGACACGGGTGGATTATGAATGTTCTATTTGTGAAGCTCCGGTCTGCTACTGGTTTAATCACACTGACTGCACGGCTTGGCTGAGCAGCTGGATTCATATTACGGCTGCTTGGCTAGCTTACCCTATTCTTACCCGATAACTATCAGCAGCCGTGCCAGCAAGGTTGTTTTTTTCTTCCCCATTATGGGGCTCAGGGCATTCCACCTGATCTCACTATGAACGTGTCTTCGTAAGTCTTAATTAAACAGAAGTGCATGCTGGGCCGGCTGCAGCCTCACCGAGAAGCGGAAGATGTTGTGTGAATCACACTGATGTCTCACTCGCACAAACACACACGTAGACACATATGATCACAAGGGTGGTGTATCCGTGAGTCCGTCTCTCTCCATCACATCTCTTCTTTTTTCCAATTAAACAGACATGCAGCAGGATGCTAACAGACAGCTTTGCTTATGTCATTGAAAGTTTACTGTAGTCCCAATGCACTAGTCTGCTTGAGCAGTGTTAAGGGAAGGACGCAGTGTAGATGCAACGGAGGCTGTTAAAGGCTCATCTTTTATTCAGCAGGGATGCCTACTGATTTGAGGCACTCAAATAAGAGATGTGACTGTGCTAATGTTGTTCCCCCCACAATCAAGATTCATGAGGACTAGGTGCATGTTTGTGCCTGAAAGAGAAAGGAAAAGAAAGGGAGATGGTACAGCTTTCTTTAGATTTCTTTTGCTCTGCTTCAAAGCATTGCTGCATTCTCAGCACGATTTCTATTTTTAGCGGCCTCACTGCATCAAAGCTTTAATTCCCTGTATGTATACAAATGAAACTATTATTTAGAATACTTCACCAGTCTTATATGCCGCAGTGTGACACACATCAGATAATTTTCTAATTATTTACCTTGTAAACTGCATAGAGCCTGTTTTACACCACACGTAAAGTGGCCTTATTAACAGGTTGCAGCATTCACATTGCACGCTTAAGCAGCACTTCTAGTGGTGTTTCAACAGGGAGTTGTTTTGTGCCCTGTGTAGCACGGTGATCTGATCTCAGAAGAAAATACGTTGAAAATGCACTATACACCTATTTATCAGCACCATTGTAAGCAATAAAGGGATTTTTTATGAAGTAATATAAAATAACAGTGAACTACTCACACATTGTTTGAAAAAGCAGCTTTTAGACTTGATGAACAGGCCCGCTTAACATGCATTTTTGGCGATCAGATCATGATCGAATGGCACTTTACATTAAAAGCCCAGTATACAGTAAATGCGCCCAAGATACATTAGAAATTACATTTGGAGGGGGTCTGGGACAGATTATAACCACATTTAATGAATATGTAAATGCAAATGTGTTTTTGTTGCACATTCAGCTATGCAAGAGGTTACGCTGCAAATAAAGCATCACAGATATGCCACTTTGTACACTTATGCCAATCACGTACTGAAATGTTAGTGTTTTTTTTTAATGGGTCTGTGGCATTTTCTTTTTATTCCAGTCTAAAAAAGATAACAGACACAGTTCTCTTGTGATCTGCCCACCCGATTTAATGATCAATACCCCATGAATTATTGCACTGGACTATACTTTTTCCGTATTTATTGTTTCTCTCACTCAAATTTTTCTGTGTATTTTTGTGGAAATTAATAAATTTCCTTACTTTTCATCACTTTTACTTCCTATTAACTTTTACTGTGGGAATATTCGTAAAAAAAGGGGACACAATAGACCATATACTTTTATTTATTTATTTATTTATTTATTTAGTCATTTAGCAGACGTTTAACTTCCGCTGATAAAGACTGCTTCTCTCAAAGACTATTTCTTTACACTGTTTTCTGCTGGCGCTTGAACACACTTTCCTTATTTTTTTCCACAACAAATGGCCAAGCAAGCGCAGACACTGGCAAGATACGCGATACAGAACGAGACCAAACGCGATATCTTTTTATCTATATTATGGGATTTCTCTGTATTTTTGCCTGTCGCTCTCTCTTGGCATTTCATCTTCAGTTTTGTTTACTTCTTATATGATCATTGTATAATGTTTTCTGCCCCCTACAAACAAGGGCAAATGCTTATATATATATATATACACAGAAATGTTCTAGATCTTCCACACATCTGGATTTACTCATAAATATCTCAGACCAACAACTCAGGTAAGTATTTCAGGTAAGTAATACAAGTGATACAAAAATGATTCAGGTTAAATGATACATCAGTGGACTTCCCTGTTACACAAGAATATTAAAATTGAAACAAATCAAACTGAAACAAATTATTTACACATTAAATCATGTAAACTGTAGCTTGACATTAAAATTTAATACATTTAATATTTATATTCAAGGCAACCGCGTTGCATTATAGTTGCATTGAATAAACAGATGTTGATATATATTTATATACATACATATATATATAGTATATATTTTTTATAGTATATATCTATAGTATGGATATATACTATATATAGTATAGTAAGATATGTATAGTATAGATATAAATGTATACATATCTTTGATCCGATATGTTCCCGCTGACATACACGGAAGAGTGACGGGCGGAGCTGCGCAAAATCCTACTATGGCGAAGGTTTGGTTCTTGAATATTAAATATCTTATGGCTCTGGGTTCCTAAGCAACAGCTCCGTGACGCACGTAATATGCATATACTGTACCAGATTCAGTTTTATTTTATGTCATTTAATTACCATTTGGATGCAGATTTACTTTCACAACAATCAAGTTTGTAATTCTTAAAGGCCAACTCCTGATAGTAATTTCATAATTTACTAAAGGAAAAAAAATCAATGCGGTAACTCGAAATCATTTTATTTTCTGTGTAGTTCCACAGTTCTGTTACGCAGCGGAAACACTCTTGTGAAAGGATCATGCGTGCCTGCTGTTGTAATTGGGCTACTGCATCATTTACGTGCTGCTTTTGCATGCAGTGTGAAACGGACCTGAGATTCATGCACAGCTGCTCTTTGCAACAACAATGTGATGAACCCACAAAGGAAAACTGAAGAGGAGAGACAGTGGCATCTGAATATTCACCCAGTTTGCTGAATTTGCATGATTTTCTCCTTCACCTCTGACTTCCTCTTATACAAGTACTACCTTTACCTTTATTACTGCTAAAGGTGTTATCATACGATTAGTCAAGGTTTATCGTTTAGCCATTTAGTTTGACCATTGTTTGTGTTCTGCCCCTTTGAAGTAATTGCTTTTTTGCTGCTGTGCCTTTAAGACTTCTCTGTAAACAGCATAACTGTGACAGATTCACAAAACAATCTGCTTTGAAATGTCCCATATAACCAGTTAAGATCACACTTAAATGTTAAAAATAAACTTCAGCTGCTCGTTTCTAACATTTTGATCTTTTGGGCGAACATGCAGAGCAGTAGGTGTTACACATAGCCAGGAATAGCACAGAGTTTTGTGGACTTTCCCACATTTTACACTTGTTAATTGTTCTTCTGGTGTTTAGGAATAATAGTGTCTGTCCTACTTCATACTTGCTCATTGTGGCTTGGCAGGCTGTCTGCATCACAAAATTACGTCACACGGACTATTTGAGAGCCGAAGAAGAATGCGGACAAGGGAAGTATACTTTGGTCTTAACTCAAATTAAATAAAGAACACATTTAACAAGTAGTTGGACAACCCCACGGTTTAATATTTTTACACAGCCTGCTGAGGAGGCGTGCCTCGAAAGAGACATGGAAACAGATTGCAACTTGGCAAGTGCAAACAACAACAACCGCAGCAGCAGGCATCACTGTAGCCCGGGGCCTCATCTGTCCGACTGAATACTGTTGCTTTTTTTTTTTCATTCTTCCGCTGTCTCCCATTTCTTCTCCTCTGCCACCTCACCTTTCAGCCCTTCATGTCACGGAGCTCCGCCTGACTGACGTCTCTCCTCAGGATGGCTGACACCAAACAGGAGCTGGATTCACTTCCTGAGGCAGTCAAGAGGAGCTTGGCTCAACCCTGCTGCGGCACATCTCTAGTTATATTACAACTGGAGTTTAGATAAAGGCTTTGTGAAAGATTTCACAAAGAATACTCTGCGAACAAGCATTTACTCAAACTTTTCACTACAGAATGCAGCCATTATTAACCATCGGCATCTAGTCTGCTTACAGACAAGAGGTTAAGCAGCTGGCTGTCTGGTGCAGTCTTAACAACCTGGAGCTGAACACGCTCAAACAGTGGAGATGATCGTGGAATTCAGGAGAAACCCCCCTGCACTCCCCTCACTCACCATCATGAACAGCACTGTGGCTGCAGTAGTCATTCAGATTCCTGGGCACCACCATCTCTCAGGACCTGAAGTGGGACAATCACATTGACTCCATTGTATAAAAAAAAGGCCCAACAGAGATTCCAGCATTGGGAATGGTGGTGTAGACGGCCCATAGCCCGTTCTCGTCGGCCATGAGGTCGATGTCAGATGATCCACCCCAGGAGTAGGGAAAGGTGTTGTTGTAGCCCGCGCCGCTAAGGCTGCGCTGCACCAGGATGCTTCGGGATCGGAAGTGGTACTTGATGATTATGTTACTCTGGTATTTGTTGTAGTAGAGGGAACCATTGTACACCACGTGACCCGTACCAGCCCAAGGGTGGGGCAGGAGATGCTGCACAAAGTTCTGGCCCTTCATGAAGTCATTCATTGTGCGATACTCCAGCACACGGCGTCCCTTAAAGTAACCGTCCATTGACCATACCTGAGACAGAATAAGATATGCAAATGTAAAATGCATGATAGATACAAATGAAGAAAAAACCAAACATACAGCACAGTCCAAAGTGTAGAGCATGGTGCTGGTCATAGGTTAGAATCCCAGGGAATGTGTATAGCATTTTAAATGTATATACTACAGTGTTATTATATGCAGTGCTATTATCATTTTAAAAAATAAGATATTTTGTTAACAGAAATAAAATTAAAAACGAAACTAAAATTAAAAACTAAACTAAGAAAAACTGAAATCCATCTGGCGATTCTCCACTCTCTACCCAACAAAATGGACAAACAACTTCTGCTCTCTTGAATAAATAATGACTTTTCAAACTCTGCTGCTCTGTTTCATGGAAACATGGCTGAATTAAGCCCTTCCGGACAGCGTGTTACATCTGCTGGGCTTCCAGCTGTTCAGAACAGATCGCGACGCAGAATCGAAAGGGAAATCGCGTGATGGTGGGACATGCTTTTACATCAACGAAAGGTGGTGTACAGGTGTAACAATGTTGAAGAAGATGTGCTGTCCCTTTTCATCAACTTTAAGCCATTTACTCGCCACGGGAGTTTTCCTCTGTATTCGCGTAAGTGTTATTACATTCCTCCACAAGCATGCGTGATCGTAGCGTTACAACAGCTGGCTGATCAAATCACAGAGCAACTATACCCGGTCATAATCATTCTTGGAGACGTTAATAAAGCAAATCTATCCTGTGAACTGCCAAAATATAGTAAGCACATTACATGTCCAGTTTCGGTAATATACTGGTAATATGTTACACCACAATAAAGGATGCATACCACTCTGTCCCACGGGCAGCTTTGGGGCTCTCTGATCACTGTCTGGTTCATCTTATACAGACCTACAGGCAGAAACTGAAATCAGCTAAACCTCTAATAAGGACTGTAAAAAGGTGGACTAATGAAGCAGAGCGGGATTTACAAGCCTGCTTTGACGGCACTGATTGGAGTGTTTTTGAAGCTGCTGCCACCAATCTGGACGAGCTCACAGAGACTGTAACATCATACATCAGTTTATGTGAGGATATGTGCAATCCTACCAGGACTAACAATGACAAACCATGGTTCACAGCAAAACTCAGCTTCATCAGGCCAAAGAGGATGCCTATAGGAGTGGGGACAGAATCTTGTACAATCAGGCCAGGAAACACACTGACAAAGGAGATCAGAGTGGCTAAGAAGAGCTATTCTAAAAAGCTGGAAAACCAGTTTTCAGCAAACAACCCTGCTTCAGTGTGGAAAGGCCTGAAATACATCACAAACTACAAGACGCCATCCCCCAGCACTGAGGTGAATCAACAACTTGCTGAAGACCTGAATGAGTTTTACTGCATATTTGAAACTCCCGGCCTCACACCCCACACCCAATATGACCATCTCTCTATACAACCATTAACACCTCCAGCAACCCCCCTCCCCCCGCCTCCTACACATCAGATCAGTAAATATCAGAGAAGAAAAGCACCAGGCCCAGATGGTGTTTCACCAGCCTGTCTGAAAACCTGTGCTGACCAGCTGGCCTCCATCTTTTCACAGATCTTCAACAGTTTACTGGAGCTGTGCGAAGTCCCTGCCTGCTTCAAACGCTCCACCATCATCCCCATCCCAAAGAAATCCAAAATTACAGGACTTAATGACTACAGGCCTGTGGCTCTAACGTCTGTGGTCATGAAGTCTTTTGAAAAACTGGTGCTGGCCCACCTGATTGGCTTATCTGAAGGACATCACTGGACCTATGCTGGACCCCCTGCAGTTTGCTTATCGAGCAAACAGGTCTGTGGATGATTCAGTCAACACGGGACTGCATTATATCATACAACATTTAGACAAACCAGGGTCTTAATGTGAGGATCCTGTTTGTGGACTTCAGTTCGGCTTTCAATACAATCATTCCAGCACTCCTCCAGAACAAACTAATCCACCTCTCTGTTCCTAGATCTATCTGTCAATGGATCACCAGCTTTCTGACAGATAGGCAACAGCTAGTGAGACTGGGGAAATTCATGTCAAACAGTCGCACCATCAGCACTGGTGCCCCTCAGGAATGCATTCTCTTCCCACTGCTCTTCTCCCCAGTTCAACCTGCCACAGGAGCTGCTCACACAGTTCTACTCAACCGTCCTTGAGTCGGTCCTGTGCACTTCAATAACTGTCTGGTTTGGCTCCGCTACAAAATCAGATATCAGAAGACTACAGAAGATGGTTCGGACTGCTGAAAGGATTATTGGTGCTCCCCTGCCCACCCTTCAAGAACTATATATATCCAGAGTGAGGAAAAGGGCTCAGAAAATCACTCTGGATCCCTCACATCCAAGCCATCTCCTTTTTGAACTCTTACCGTCTGGCTGGTACTACCCTACATCTTATTCCATTCATATATATGTGTGTGTGTATTTTATTCACATATTTTTATTTCTTATTATCTGTGTGGTGTTGTTGTTGTCTCTGAACCTGTGCTGACCAGCTGGCCTCCATCTTTTCACAGATCTTCAACAGTTTACTGGAGCTGTGCGAAGTCCCTGCCTGCTTCAAACGCTCCACCATAATCCCCATTCCGAAGACCCCCAAAATCACAGGACTTAATGATTATAGAACTGTTGCCCTAACATCTGTGGTCATGAAATCGTTTGAGAGACTAGTGTTGGCTTATCTGAAGGACATCACTGGACCTATGCTGGACCCCCTGGAGTTTGCTTATCGAGCAAACAGGTCTGTGGATGATTCAGTCAACACGGGACTGCATTATATCATACAACATTTAGACAAACCAGGGTCTTAATGTGAGGATCCTGTTTGTGGACTTCAGTTCGGCTTTCAATACAATCATTCCAGCACTCCTCCAGAACAAACTAATCCACCTCTCTGTTCCTAGATCTATCTGTCAATGGATCACCAGCTTTCTGACAGATAGGCAACAGCTAGTGAGAATTGGTAAAT